GCCACTACTTCTAATAGTAATAGTTCCGTCGGTAATTCTAATGGTAATTCCAATGGTACTACAAGTAACAACAACGCCGGTGGTAGTGCGGGAGGACCGAGGCAGTATCCATTGCATACGCAAAGGGCTGATTCGGTTATGTTGTGGTTAAGAGCTATTATCTTAAGACCGACAAATTTATCCTAAACCACGGTATAAAATAGCGGTTTAGGATAAGATCCAAATCTTTTGATCTATTTTAAGAACGCACTTCTATATCAGTGGCAATTTTTTTAACAAAACTTGTCAAGGTCGATTGTTTAAAGGCGAAATTCTTGTAGTAAGTTAAATACTTAGGCCTTTAAACTCAATCGTTGAATTGTCCTTATTTTAAGTGAAAAATTTAATAAAAATAAGATTATATTCTAGTGCTATTTATTTTTTATTTTATTTTATTTTATTTTATTTTATTTTTTTTTTGCCATTGTATCGTAATATTGCAAAAAAGAATTAAATAAATAAATAGTAAATAAATTATTAACTTAATAAGAAACAATTCAGGGCCAGAGTTAGAAAGGGTTTTATTGAAGGCTATTGTACTTAACCCTTTTTTTTTTTTTTTTTTGTTAGAACGTTAAACAGCTTTTAAAGAAAATTCAAGCTTTATAATTTCAAAGCTTTGTTAAGAACTCAGCCAGAATGGTCCCAAAAAGTGCTGTAACGTGACATCCACAGCTCGAAGATATACAGGCGTATAGATTTCGAATCCGTTTTCTGTCATCATTTACTGTTTGAATAATGTAGTTCTGCAAAATCATGTTATGGCACTTTGTCATGGCTAATTTTCCTAGCCATTGCTAGGGAGAACTCGATGAAGAATCTGATTGGTCAATTTGATCATCCGTGATCAATTTCGACATGTATTCTATTATACAGTATACGCCATAGAAAGTATTTGTGGGATAATTTCTACTTGAATGTTGGCATACGCATTGCCCAGAGCTAGTCACAACTAATTGTCAATACCACAAGTCAGAACTAATGTCATAACGATAAGGAGGCATCCGTAATTTACGTTAAACCAGTGTTATAGAAATCAGAAATAATCATCAAGGTCTCTATTTAACGTAATTATGGATGCCGCCTAAGTGTCGAAAGTAAATTAGAGATGGACCCGCCGGGTAGAAATTTTTTACCGGTTAAACCTATAGGTGCTGGTGAAATATGGTGAAATGTGGTGAAATAATTTCACCACTATTGGTGAAATTGGTGGTGAATTGGTGAAATTGGTGAAATTAATTTCACCAGCATCTATAGTTAAACCCGGTGGTAATATTGATATTTCATATTATATTGACATTTATATTATATTTGATATTTCATATTGCGGTAAATAGAATTGACAATAAAATCATTTTCTTTTTATTAGCTTTTACCTAGCGACACCCATGTGACTTTAAAACTTGCTACAGCATAGCTAATTTTTGTAGATCATCTCATAATATTACGAAATCTGCTTGGTTAATAGAAACCAAGTTCGAAGCAAAAAATTTATAAATCATTAGAAAAAATATATATATTTAAATTATAAATTATAACAAATAAGTTTTAAAACGCCAATCCTAACAGTTATTTTCAAATATGGGTATGGTTAAATTTATTAAAAAAAGTGATATCTTTAAACTTAACAATCTTTTAAATACATAATTTAATCTCTATTAACTAAATTGTTTATTACTATATGTATATATTAGTAAATAAAATGACAAAATTGATAATAGAAAACATAAATTAATTGAAAAAAACCATCATCAATAAGCATAATATATGCTTATAGTAGGTATGGACAATATAAAAAAGAACCAATTACTAATTAACTATAAAACAAAATATTATTGTATATATTTATTCTATGTAGTGCTCAACACAATTAAACAAAAATTCGATAGTCAAATACTTGTTAATATTTATATTTAAATTGGATATTAAATAATTGCAGATTAACCAAAGTTAAAAATATACTATTAGTTAATCTGCAATTATTTAATATTTAATTTAATCACAAATATTAACAAATATTTGACTATCAAATTTTGTTTAATTGTGCTAAATACTAGTTCTATATATATTTTATGTTTAATATGTTGTAACTTTTAAAAGTTAATTGAATAGCCCTATATTCAAAAAGAAATAAAAAAAACTAAAATGCAAGTATATATTATTGTTTAAATTGCTATTTTTTAGTTTAAAAAAAAGCTTAATATTTATTAACCAAGATACAATTTATTTTGCTAATTGCTAAATTATTTTAGCCTATAAAACAAAGATATACTCCGTTGCTAAATTCTAAATTATTTAATCTTTTCTTAGATTATTTTAATTTATAAAATGTAAAATATAGTTTTAATTCAGGAGTAAAAACTCTTCCTGATGATCTCTCAGACCAACTTTTTAAAATTCAAATTTTTAACAAAAATAGTAAAACTATGTTAGAGAAGAAGGACATAAGACTAACGAAAACCATAAACTAGCACCTATTATTTAGAGATAGTTTTCATATGCTATCTGCTAATAAGTTTAGAGCTTATCACTCACCATGAGAATGGTACTTGTTATTTAGAAGTAGTTCTTATATGCTACTTGCTAACAAGTTTAGAGTTTATCACTTACCAAAAAAAAGAGCAATAGTGTGCTTGGACCTACTTGTATTACTATTTTTAAAAAAACATATACCATAATTTGCAGCAAATAGTACCAGGTCTTTTATATTCCTAGAAGCAAAATCTTGATTAGTTCCTAGTAGGTACTTTGTCAAGTGGAAAATATTTTATATAGGGGAGTTTATGTAAGGAAAATAATTAGGTTGACTAATCATTTAATAGAATTATAATGAAATTGAAAAAAAAGACATAAAAGAAGTCATGCACTATATAAATTGTATCTTAGATATACTCAGATTTTTTACAATCATGTTTGTAACAAATACTTGATTAATCCCAGATACAAATCGTGGGGGTACACTAATAAGGGGGTACTATTTGCCGCAAATTACAGTACTCTCCTTGAAGAAAAGTACTTGGTTTATACTCTTTACTATCACCCACTTGTGCTTTTAACAAAATTTTTGAAAAAAGTAGGCAAAACAGCTTACCCCATCAAAAGATCAGTATTGTTCACCCTTTTCAAATCAGAACAACCAGATAGATTACTACCATGTGTTTGGAGTAATTATGAAAATAAACACAGTGCTACCTATAAAAGATCAGAACTCTCCGTTTAATTAGTATCTAGATTTGGGTATATATTGGAAAGAAGATTCTAGTTGAAGTAAAATATTACAATCGAGATATACTATAGTTGTATTAATTATATAATTTTTATTATTTGACCACAAACTACTTCTTAATAGAAATAGTTTGGTCAGCCTGTAGAGGCTTTTCTCTTTATTTTTCTTTTTTTATATTCACCTGTTTTTCTCTTTTTTTTTCTTTTTGATTCCCCTTTCATTATATGTTTTGTTTTAGTTTTAGTTCTTATTTTTTTTTTCTTAATATTAATTTTGTATTGGTAATACAAAATTTTACTTTCTTGTGCTCTCGGTAAAAAAAGAAAGATTGAAGGAATTAGTTCTTGATAGACTGACAAGGTCCCCTTATTTTTGATATTAGTGCGTTGTTGTTACTTGTAGTACCATTGGAATTACCATTAGAATTACCGACGGAACTATTACTATTAGAAGTAGTGGC